GGTTCCAGGATGGGTTCAGAATCCAGTGATAGCCTTCGATTGAGGGGTCTACTTTAAATGGTACTAGATTACGGATTTGGTGAAGGGCCATTTTGTGCCATGGTAACTCTTTATTGAACAGCAATTTAATTAACCATTTATGCTGGAGGGCTTGAAATTGTACTGACGGATTCAGCAATCCCAGACCCCCTAGCTGCTTTGGTCTGGTGATGTATTTCCAGGCTACTTTGCTGATGTATCGCTCTTTCTCAGCTTTTCCCGTCCATAGATAGGCCCCTATTTTTCTTTTGAGTGCTGTAAAGAAGCTTGGCGGTGGATTCCAGAGTGAGGCCACGTACCAACCCATGGATAGAACCGATGTGTTGATTACAAGAACTCTTCCCATKAGTGATACGTATGTTTCCTGCCATCCTGCCAACTTGTTCGTCATCTTGAGTAATAGGCTCTCTCCAGACGCATTGCTGGTTTCTTCAGCTGATACTTGGATTCCCAGAAATCTTATCGGTTGTTGTGCGTCTAGCCATTGCAGACCCAGGATATCCTGATTTTGTTGAGGGGGGTGTGAGGTGGCTAACCACCAGCCGACTGTTTTGTTCCAATTAATTTTTATTTCCGATGCTAATTGGAATGCTTGCATAGCTTTAGTGAGAGCTAAGAAGGACGAGTTGAAAGCCCTGATAAGTACCGTCAGGTCATCGGCAAAGAGGATGGTTGTCGGGATATGGATTTGCTTTTCTTCGTGTTGTGCTACGAGTTTTTCTATGGATGGGTCTTTACGTAGGAAAGCTGCTATTGCCTCCATTACAAAGAGGAAAATAGGGGCTGCTAGCGGGTCCCCTTGTCTTACCGATCTGGTCATCTTGTAGCTCTCGGACAGGTGTCCATTGACTTGAACCATTCCTCGGGCGTCCCCGTAGAGCACTCTTATCCATTTCCTGAAATTTGGTCCTACTCCCATTTTTTCCATGCTCKGCTGTAAGAATTCCCARWTTACTTGATCGTATGYTTTTTCAAAATMAAAAAATAGTATGGCTGCTTGYAATTTCTTATCCCTTATGACCTTAGTTGCCTCATTCAGGGTTACTACATTATCTAAAATATATCTTCCCGGTATGAAACCCGTTTGATCTATGTGAAAGCACTTGTCCRTTATATTCYGTATCCTGTTGGCTAGGGTCTTAGCTAAAATTTTATAGATTACCGGTAATAATGTTATGGGTCTGTAATTCTTTGTGTCTTCTCTATCCCCTTTCTTATACAGTAGTGTGACCACTCCCGTGCTGCAGTCTTCGCCTATCGACCCCTTGGAGAACGCCTCCTTGAAGAAATTTGTCACCGTTTCGCCAGTCAGGTGCCAGTTGCTTTGCCAGAATTCCTTCGGTAGACCATCCTTGCCCGACGTTTTGTTTGGCTGCATGTTCGATAGGGCTTCATACAGTTCCGACTTGGTGATTTCCTTGTCCAAAAAATCTAACGCCGCTGGGCTGAGGCTTTTGTCTAGTTACTTTAGAAATTTTCCCTAGCATTCTGCACGTTACCTGGATTTTCGAGGAAGGTTTTGGCCGTGTAGAGATTCTGGTAAAAGTCTGAAGGCACTCTTAGTATTCCTTCCTCTGTTGTTTGTGTAGAGCCGAAGGAGTCCTTTAGGGCTAATATTCTGTTGTTTATGTGGTTTGCTTTAATCCTTTGGAAGAAGAGTTTTGTCATACTCTCATTGCTTTCCTAATCTCTGACCCTGGCTCTTATTGCTAACCCCTGTCTTCTCTATTCGGCCCATTGTCTGAGTTCTGTTCTAGCTTCTTCCAGCAATTGTTCGTATAGTCTCTCTCCCGGATTAGCTATCAGATTGAACTTAGCTATTTCTACCGTTGCTTCTAAGTTTAGTTGCCTTGCTTTTCTTCTAGCCGCTTCCCTTCTTGAGAAACCATTTGCCCACTGGCTAATTTCTTGAATGTTGGCTGGGAACTCTTTAAGGATTTTTCCTTCTTCTAGTTTCGGCTTGATTGAATCCCATTTGGCTTTGAACTCTTGTTTGAATGATTCCAACTGGAGGAGGGATGTGTTTAGTTTGAAGAAGWTCCTCMKWGATGTACTATCCAGTGACAAGGCGAGAGTAAGGTCWATTGGATTGTGATCATATCCATCGTAGTGGGGCARCCTAGCTATCCTACAGTCTAAGACCGCTCCTTCTAGTGTGTCTGTTATGAGGAAGAAGTCTATTCTGGAGAAGGTGGTTCTACCCTGACTATTTTTCCTGATACAKGAGAAGTCTCTTCTATGCGGGTTGCGGAGTCTATACGGATCCATGAGGTTTTTTTCCGTTGATAATTGAGTCAGTGCTCTCCCTGCTGCATCCTGATAGTTGTCTTCCCCCCGCGAGATTTTGTCTAGTTGTGGATCTTGAGTCGTATTCCAATCCCCTACTAGTATAGTGTGTGATTGTGCTGATATTGACTCCCCTAATTTGGTGAAGAAGTTAACTCTCTCTGTAACTGCGTTTGGGGCATATAAGTTTACTATGTCTATGTCTTCTCCTTTGTAGTTGAGTTCTATTTTTGACCATCTGCCTTCTGTTTGATCCGCTGACACTGATTTAATTTGCAAATGTTGCTCCTCTATTGCTTTCTTGTGAATCAATGTGATTGTTCCTGCTGATGCTGGTTGTGGACTGTAAGYTGTTACCTCCACGGCGCAGTTTCTTAGTCTTCTCATAATTTCYTTTTTTGYTGTTTCGTGGGGTGTTGCATTGGTTAAGTGTGTCTCCTGAAGACAKAGGATGTCCGGGGGKTTTGAACCGTTCCAACCTGTCGTGTTGAGAAGGCAATGCCACTTTTCCTGATTTGTTAGRATTGTCGCCAGTCCTSTCACATTCCAGGATTGGATCATGAGTTCCCCCCTGGAAGTTACCATGTTTTACCGTTTTTCATTTAACTTTTGTGAGCTGCTTTTTTGTCTCTAGGAGYYGACACTGRTTTCCAGATCTTCCTCAAAAGGGGACAGCAGTGCTGGGAGCTCTGCAGCATCCTGTGTCAGCGCTTCCGACTCCAACAGCGTAGCCAAGGCTACCGCATTCTGGGTCATCAGAGTGTCACTCCCTAGTGCCGTGAYGGGCAACTCCACCACCCACCACCAAGGCCTCCATCTTAGTCCCTCCTGCAGCTCGGCTTTGTGGWCGAGACAGACCAGCAGCGGTCGTGCGTCAAAATGTGCCTGCTCTTTCYCCTCCCCTTCCTCTGAAACATCCTTTGGATCTGCCTCTYCTCTCTTTTGCAGCTCCCCTGCAAGCCCTATGAATTCCGGTTTCCCCCCCTTGCAAATCTTCTGCAGCAGATCCTYTTTTTTCTGTCCCAATTGCCATCTARGAAATGACAGTTCTTCGCAGACTGCTACATTCCACTGATTGGCAAGTGCATCTCTTTGGATGGGAATTACTGCGCGGGACTGCAAAAGGGTGTTTGCTTCCTTTCTGGCTCTTTCCCAGAGCGCATCTTGGTCTCTGWTCCGCAGATCCTGGACTGTCACTGTGTGTAGGGAAACTTCCCTGTTCAKGTCTATTAGCYGTGCGTTCTGAGCCTCCAGTGCCTGCAACTGGATACCCAGTTGGGTGACTGTTGGCATTGCTTTGTCCGTTCCTTCTTGTTCTTTCTTCTTTCCCTGTTCTTCGAGGGTTGGAGTTGGTTTATATTTCTGCAGCTTCTTGACCTTGTGATGTCTGTTCTTTCCCTCACCCTCTTCGTCTCTCTCACTTTCCTTCATTTCCTGGTCTTCTTTAGAGGCGCAGTATTTCTCTGCAAATAGTGTTGCCAACTCCTTCTCCTTTTCCAAAGGAGCAAAAGGGTTCTCTGTCCACGGAATGTGTCTGGAAGGGTTAGCTGCTTCTGTCTTGAGCTTGTTTTTCTGCTCTTCCCTTTGCAGAATTAGCTGCAATTCGTAATTCTCATCTCTTTCCCTTTCAAAAATTTGGATGTATTCCCTCAGTTCTTTCTCCTGTTGTCCGGCCCAAGGGTATCCCTCTTCTCTGTCTGGCTCTTGGTCATCTTCCAGTTCTTCCCTGTCCGCTTGTCCTTCAGAGTGTTTCCTTTTATCCCCAACTGTCAGTTTTTGCTGCCCTTCCATCTCCCCTGTTTCTGACTCCGCCTTTCCCTCCATCATGGAAACATCGGTCCCCTCCGCCTCCTTGGCCTTCCCCTGATCAGTCTTTTCCTGTCCCTTTCGCCTTCTCCGTACGTAAGTTCTTGGTGCTTGTCCATCCCCTCTCGCTCTTTCTTCCCCCTGGTACCTCTTTACTGCTTCAATCCATTCTCTTTCCGTGTTTTCTTGAACTGCTTGCAAGTCTGCACAAAGGTCTCTTTCCCAGATTTCGTGTTTCAGTGCTTCTATGTTTATTACCGGATCCTTGGTGAAAAACTTGGGCGCTTTTTTGCCCGTTTTCAGCGTTTGCCATCTACTCTCGTACGGGGGGTAGACATCAGGTCTGGGYGTTGGTTCCCCTTGTATGGTCCATACCCAATCCGGAGTATCCAAGTTATCATTGAAGACCCACCCARCRTACTRCGCCTCCGGGATGTACCAAAAMCCCTTTTTGCCAGCCACTTCCTGCAGATTTGCTGTTTTCAGCARCTTTGGTTTGGCGCTTTCTTTGGTTTTTGGGCAGTTTGCGTCTGTCCCCAGGTGTCCCCTTTGCCTGCACTTGAAGCAGAGGGGATTGGTTTTGCTGGATACCGTTATCCTGATTACCTTGTTTTCCTGGGAGAAAAACCATTCATCAGGAATAAACGGTAATGAACTGTCCCCTGTTTCCAGAACCACCGTCATYTGATTGTGYTGCGGGGTGAGGAAATCGGGGGTTGAGMCGATCCAGTGAGCTTCATTAAAATGCCCAAATTCCATTYTCACCCTCTCYTTTATACAACYATGSATCCCCTCCGGTACATTGTCGAACTGTATCCAAAARTGCTTTTTGATYAAGTCCTGCCTRTACCTGAATGGCGTTTGCTGAAAGTTTGCTGCTTGTTTCCAAGGATGCACTGTGACGACTGAGGAATTGCACGTAAAGCATTTATTTTTCAGAAACGACGCGAGCGCTTCCTCCATACACAGTACCATGATTACATTTCTTGATCTTGGGTGAAAAGACACTTTCGGTTCCTGACCCTTGACTGGTTCCAAACTCTTCAATTTTTCCCAAATCCATTTCAATTTTGCTTGTCTGTCTAGCTCCTGACTTTTTTTGGCGAATGTGAAGAGGACGACGTGTTTCTAGTGGAGTTCCACTTGCTTGGTTGTGAGTTCCTTTGGGCATTCGTAGACCACGACTTCCTCCCTGTTGTTTCCCCCGTGATCGATGCTTTTGGTGGTTTTGATAAGAGGAGCTCTGGTCTGCTCCGCCAACCAGTTTTGAGTTTCGATTCCCAAACCCTCCATTGCTGTCTTTCCCTCGAACTACAAACGGCCCTGGCTCAGGATCAAGATTGAAAACTGTGGCTGAAAGTCAGTTTGTGGTAGCGAGCAGCTCTGGCTCAGGATCAAGATCGAACACAGTGGCAGAAATTCAGTTTGCGGCAGCGTGCAGATTACTAACACGGCCTGGAAAGAGCAAAGGCGACTGTGGCGGGTTCGAACTCGTTAACGAGATCTCAACCGGGGTGCAACGTGATCACGGGTTTTCAGCCCGGATCGAGATCGCTCCCGGGATTGGGAAGAGCAACTGTGTTATCGGTTAATATTGTGATGGTCTCGATAAAAAATTGGTGGTGTGGGTGGAGACGGGATTTGGACTAGGTGGGAGAAACGGGGTAAGTGGTGAAAATAATAGCGCAAATAATGGAAATAAAAATAAAAATAATGATAGAAATAATAATAATAATAAAATAATAAAAATAATATAAATAATAGCAATAATAATGGGGACCCCTCGAAACAGCTGCGGCGCAGTTGGCGATGGAAACAGGGTGGTCGGTAGTTGTCGTTATTCTTGAAGGGGAACGGAAGRGGAGGTTATGGACTGYCGTGTCTGTGTGAGGAGGACGGTAGCCGGATGTGGCTGGTTAGTAGCGGGGTGGAGGGGTGTCCTGGAGGGAGAGTTGGGGAACGAGGATGGGGACGAGAATGGATCGGGTGAGGAACGAGTGGRATTGAGAAGAGGGATCGATGTGGTATTTAGAAGGGTGATGAGAATTTTCGTGGTGGGATCGAGGAAAGCGTGGAACTAGTGGAATGAGAGGGATTGAGAAGAGGGATTTAGGAGGGATCGAGGGACGAGTGGGATTGAGACRGGGAGCGAGAATTYTCGTTGCGCACGAATTCAAAGCGCACGTGCGTACGAATTCGGGGTGGGATCGGGAGGAGAACTAGTGGGATTGAACTAAGGTCGGGGAGGGACAGGAATGGGAGCGGGAACGGGATTGTGGTGGGAACGGGGTGGGAACGAGAATGGGTCARGAGGGGAACGAGTAGGATTGAGATTGAGCTCGGGAAGTGAACATGAATGGGAACAGGAATGGAAAAGTGGTGGGAACGGGGAGGGAATGAGAATGGTTCGGGGAGGAAAACGAGGTGTGGTCGAGGTGGCGGGGTAAGATCGGCGAAATGATTATGGGTGGAGAGTGCGCGGAGGGCCAGGGGGGGGGGTGCAATGTAAAGGGAGAAATGTTTGATGGGTTGGAGGGGAAGCTAGTAGAAATTGGTTGAGGCGGGGACGCAAGGTAGCTCAGGGTGTTTCTGGAGATCAATTGGCTGCAGCCTGGAGTGGGGTGGAGTCTACCCAGGGTGGGATCTACTCGAGAAACGAGTGGGTTCAGGTCGGGGGAGGGGTAAGATAGGGGTTGTGGGCGGAAAGTAATCGGGGTGAGGTCTTAAAATGATGTCGGGATGGGAGCGGTTTAGGGACTGGCTCGGAGTCAATGTCGGATACCGTTTGTGGTGGGGTCGGGGTAGGATCAAGGGGGGATTGTGATCGGGATCGGGTTGGGAGCAAGAAAGGGAACGGTAACGGGATCGTGTTGAGGTCGGGAAAGGTTCAAGATTGGGTTGGGATCAAAACTGGGGTGTGGTCGAGGTGGATCGATCATATGAGTATGGGGGARAGTGGGGGTCGGTAGAGAAGGGGAGGTGAAATGTGGTGAGGARAACCTTTGATGGATTGTGAGATGTGTGGGGTGAAGACGGGTAGAGTGGGGACTCGAGGCAGAGCGAAATGTATCTGGATTGGGATAGGCTCTCGTCTGGCTCGGTATGAGATCCCAGCGGGGAAYGGGCGGATTCAAGTCAGGGGCGGTGTGGGGGTAGTGATTGGGGTCGGGGTAYGGTCGGGGTGAGGTCGAAAACGGGATCGAGTTGGGGCCGAAGTGGGGACGGGATCGGCGTCGGAAATGAGTTAGGGTGGGAATGGGGGTCGGGATGGGGTTGMGCTTGAGATGGGGGCGGGGCTACAACCGTAACGAGGTTGGGGTGGGGTTGGATGTTGGTTGGGGACGGGGTTAGAATGGATAGTATGGGGTGGGAGCAACARTGGAATCGTGGGGTAAGGAGGGGTTAGCACGGAAAGGGGCRGAGATATGATTGCTGGAATCTGGGCGAATGGTGTGTATAGAGCGTCAGTGGTGTGGCGAGTCGAGAGGGTGGAGAAAGGTAAAAAGGAAAACGGGGGRTTTTGGTATTGGACARCTCTCACTTTATCGTGTTCTGGTTGTGCAGGATTATTCTGGCRCAGCGTACTGTTCACCTCTTTTGCCYGTCATTCATTCCTTTTTCCTGATATGGAACAAGCTTGACGTTGTGGAAGGAGTCACTCGCTCGAAACAACGTCGACCCTTGACCCTTGAGTATGAACTTGAGATCYGACGAGAACAGTGTTGTCGTGTAGCCACTAGGTTGTCTCAAGCTTCCTYTGCTCGCCGACGAACCTCCTCCCCTTGATTTGAAATTCAGTTCGGTGCATCGATACTTCGTCCTTCTATCCGCTTGGTAGGATCGAGTTGCAGGCCTAGGCGCGCGCGCCTGGCGCGCGCGCRTCGRCTTTCTTCCTCGATRTGTTTGGCTATGGTTGGGCAACTATGATTGGCAATGATGAGTTGCTGTCTTTTCCGGAATCGGGTTCGGTGCGAGAGTTGTCGCCTCTCGAAACCCCGATTTCGAATTCGGACGCTTCACCGGGTTGGTGCCTGTGCAGGCGCGGGAGGCCGGGGACCGAATAGCGCAATAATTAGCGTTGAATTGAATTTTGCGCTAACCGTAGGCGCGGGTGCAAAAAACAGTCTCTCTCCTCGCTACAACATGATCTTACTGAGTTGCAGTCAATAGTATTCCCCATCAGAAGGCAGTCTCTTCAGCAGGGAGCCTGCGGGCCACCAGATTCCCTTGACAACGCACCAGCTACTGTCTTCCCTTGAACATAATGCATATGCGTAGTATTCGATTTTTTGAAAACAATAGACGACTCGAATAGAACCCATATCCGTTGTATTCGAATATTCCGGCTGTTTAAACAGAACGCACGTGTGTTGTATTCGGATAGAAAGTAACCTATGTGTTGTATTCGTATACAACACATATGCGTCATGTTCGGGGCCAGGGGAAGACGGTAGTCCCCGACACACACAGTCTGTAAAGATGGTAGACTGCCAGTTAAACCACCAGTACATTTTCCAACCATTTTCCTAGGATGCGTGGTGCACGCAGGTGCCCTGAAAACAATGAAAAGTGCATTTGGGGAGCTTTTTTTTTTTCAACTCTAAGTTTGGTGTTTGTTGGAGTCTTGGAGAAGACTGTTTTGGCCAGCCCTGAAAATCCTGAAAATCTCGAAAGCTGAAAAAAGCGAATTTTGCATGAAAACACACTTTTGCCTTGGGGTTTAAGGCCCTTTCTATCCATTTTTAAACTTTTTTTTTTTGCTGTTGGCTTATTTGGTGTCCACTCTATGGACTGGTTACACATCTGGCTTAAAAGGTATGGGACGTTTGTTATAATGACCCAGAAAAAAACCCTCCTGAAAATTTAGGCCTCTGTTAACCGCTTCTCCCCCTTTGATTATTTGGTAGTTCGAAGTTGGAACTAGATCCCCAATTTTCCAATTACCAACCCCAGTATTCAGACTTCTCCCCTCCACTCCTCCTACTTCTCCATCTGGTTTTTATAACTTTTTATAATTACTGGAAGCTTAAACCACAAGTACGTTTCCCAGCCAAAAAAAAAAAAAAAAAAAAAGATGGCCCATG